GTTCAGATTGCATCTCAGAGCATTTAAAATAGACATTTATAGAGGTTTCAGCAGCCCCCATATCCTCAACCTCTGGTTTAAAAAGAAATGTGCATAGTGGTTAATTCTTCCATAATACCTTTTTTTTAATGGTAGCAGTTTCAAGAGAAGGGATTGGAAGTCAATAAATAGGTATAATATCCAAGGGGATAGGTAGAGAGAGAGAAGTGATCATGTATTCAGCCTTCTATTCACTCATTCCGGAAGTATTTGCTGGCCATATTATGTACCAGGTACCCCAGGGTTAGGACCTGGAGACCCAGGAGTGACCAGATAAGGGAGATTCCTGCCTACAGCTTCTGTTTAGCCAGAGGAAGCAGAAATGAACAATCAATGAAATAAACAGAAAAGATTATTTTAAATCGGAGTTAACTACTTTAAAGGAAACCAAGAAGGTGATGAGAAAGCAAATTGCCAGAATAGAGGTGAGTCCCACTTTGCATAGAGAGTCAGGAAAGGCTTCTCTGGGGATATAAAGTGAATGCTGAAACCTCCAGTCACATCGCTAGAAACAAGCAGAACATGCCAGAGAAAGTGGAAAGGTGCTGATGTCATCAAACATTCAGTGTGTTTGAAGAACAGAAAGAAAGACAGATATAGAAAGTGAGACATCATCTCAACGTGACCTGTGCCCTCTATTTTAGCCCTTGAAAAATGTATTTCCTTAAAATGGATGATTAATAATGTTAATAATAGTTGCCTTTATTAAAAATCTATGTGTTAGTTGCTGTAAGAATATCTTCTGTATCTTATCTCTCAGCATTCACAATATCCCTCAAATCCAAAAACGCATAAATTATCATTCTAGTTTGACACAGAAGACAGCCTTAGAGAGCTCAAACAAATTGTTAATGATTACACAGCAATGGCAGAACTAGAATTCATACTCAGATTCATCCATCTACAGAACCTACACCTTTTTGTTTCCTTTAACTTGTTTTGTTCAGCAAATCTTTCAACCCTACGCTAGGAACTATGCATACAGAAATGAATGAAGCAAAATGTTGTGGACTGTTTCTAAAGATGGCCACACAGTACCTTATTCCAACACACCCTTTTGCAATGTCAACTTTTTGCTCCTGCATCTAGAGGGGAAATCTATTCCTTCTCTTGCTGGCATTGAGACTTATTTTGACCAAAAGAAGAGCTTTCCATTATGTCTTGCCTGAATTCCCAGTCCTCAGAATTGTGAGCAAATAAAATGGTTGTTTCAAGACACAAAGCCTTGAAAGTGGTTTAGTGACTCAGTATGACCAAAATGCATAAGCAGCTCAGAACGGAGAGGATATCAAGCATACAGCTATCTTTAAAATAATGTGACTGTTCCCATGTTTATTGCAGCATAATTCACAATAGCCAAGATACAGAAGCATCCTAGGTGTCCATTGATGGATGAATGCATAAAAACATACAGTATACAAACACAGCTGAAATACTATTTAGCCTTAAAAGAGAAGAAAGTTCTGTTATTTGTGACAACATAGATGAACATCAAGGACATTATGTTAAGTGAAATAAACCAGGCACAGAAAGACAAGTATTGCACGATCTCATTTATATGTGAATTCTAAAAAGTTGAGCCTACAGGAGCAGAGATTAGAAGGATGATTACCAGAGGCTGAGGAATGGGGAGCTTAGAAAGTTGTTGGTCAAAAGATACAAAACTTCAGTTGGACAAGAAGAATAACCACAAGAGTTCTATGGTACCAGATGGTGACTACAGTTAATAACAATATATCGTACACTTTAAAATTGCTAATAGGGTGTTCCCACAAGAAAAACTAATTATGAGATGAAATGCATATGTTAAATACTTTGACGTAGCCATTAAACGAAGCATACATAATTCAAAATATCATGTTATACACCATATATACAATTTTTACTTGTCAATTAGAAAATAAATGACTTTTAAAATTTAAAAATAATGTGAGTGGTGTCATGAGAGAGCAGTGGAGAAACATCTAAGTCAGTGCTGAGCAGAGGTGGATAAACTTTTCTGGGAAAGACCCAAACAGTAAATACTTTAGGTTTTGTGAGCTGCACTGTCTTTGTCTCAAGGACGCAATTTTGCCATTACAGAGGAAAACAGCCAAAGATTACGTGTAACCAAACGGATGTGTCTGAGTTCCAATTAAACTTTATTTAGAAATGCAGAGGGAGACCAGGATTTGGCCCCAGGAGCTGTAATTACCAGCATCTGGCCTTCTTAGAGCATCAGAGGAAGCTAACTGAAGGTGTGGTGCCTGAGAGTACATCTTAAAGGATCTATCAGGAACTGAAGCTCTGAGATCCAGGGAAACCTTTCAGCCTTTTAACTTAACACATAAGATAATAATAGCATTGCGACACTGCATATTCTCTGAAAGGTCATTCCTGAAGGGCAACAGGGAGCTGAGTCATCAGAGAAGGCCTGGAAAATGGGAAATGAAAGAGCTGGGAGCCTGAGAGCGTAATGAAGCTTTTCGCCTTGGTGAACCCCCAAATAAGAATTAAGAACTTAGCATGTAACTCAACAGAAGCTCCAGCTCTCTCATTGTATTAGTTCATTCTCACGTTGCTTCAAATATACTACTTGAGACTGGGTAATTTATAAAGGAAAGAAGTTTAATTGACTCACAGTTCAGCATGGCTGGGGAGGCCTCAGGAAACTTAAGATCATGACAGAAGGGGAAGCAAATATGTCCTTCTTCACAGGGTGGCAAAAAGGAGAACACATGAGTGTTCGGTGAATGGGGAAGTCCCTTATAAAACCACCAGACCTCATGAGAAGCAACCCACTACCATAAGAACAGGAAGGAGGAGGGCCTGTGATTCACTTATCTCCAGCTGGTCCCTCCCACAACACGTGGGGATTACAGAAACTACAATTCAAGATAAGCTTCAGGTGGGGACACAGCCAAACCATATCACTCATCTACATACATCGAAGTAAGCACCTAAAACCTCTGTTCTGGAAGTTATTTCACTGAACTAAATCTAACAAGTATATATCCCTCCTCTCCTTAGAGACTATCACAAATGGAATTTCTGATGAACAGGGACCATGTCTTTTTCTTACTAGCAAGTAGCATCTCTTGTACATGCTTTCTTTCTAGGAGAGCAATGCACCTTTCTTGTCTTTCAGTTCTTTAGCTTCCCTTCATGCCTGATACTTCTCAGTCACAGACCTGCTTCTCTTAATCTGAAAAACAACTCACTCTTTAGCCTGAATACCACACTCCGGAAACAACAGGAAAGCACTGGTGAAAGCATTTAAAGTTCTAAGTTAAGAGCAATGGGAGTTCTAAAAAATGTGACTGGGTACAGGAAATTTGACCTGATACCAGTTTTTCCAATGGTGGTTCCAGGATGGAAGGGTGAGAACAAATTCTGAGAACCAAATCAGATAAATGCCCAATGGAACAAGAATTTCAGGAATAGATCTTGGGCTGCGCAGGGAGGCCATGGTAGGTATGAATGCCTTTGACTAGGTACCACCATCTCTTCTTCCCAAGGTTACTCCTTGTGTCACATGGCCACCATCATTCCTCCTCACCACCATTGATGGACACCACCGTTGCAAAATTCGGTGCTCCTTACCTCAGAAAAGACCCATTGCTCATTCTTTTATGCTTTTTTTTTTAAATGTTTGTTATGAAACAGGAAAAGTTATCTTGTCCCTCTTGCAGGGCATGTGATGGGGGTGTGGCTCACTTCTTCAGTGTCCCACTGCTCAAACCTCTAGGGGAGCATATAGATGGGCAGGCTGTGGGGCTCTGACCCCATGGCAGTGTCTAAGGCTGAATGCTTACAGTGGAAGCCCCAGTGGGCATGTGTTACAGAATGCTTTTTTAGTTTAGCTTCCATAGGTGGCTTATGTTAACCAGCTCAATTAGACCCTCTACTTTGTTGCAAGGACAGAGGGCTTTCTATATCCCAGGTTTCTGTCCTGGTGTACTAGGAGAATGAGATCAAACTGGGTTTGAGAATAAGTGCAAGGTTTTATTGCATGGAGGTAGCTCTCAGCAGACGGGGGAAGCCAGAAAGGGATGGAGCGGAAAGGTTTTCCCCTGGAGTAAGGCCACTAGGCAACCCGCGCTCTCTCCCGACTGCTCCAGCCAAACTCTGCGCCATTCAGCCAGTCAGTCGGTGTGTATTGGTGTGCTCCTCCTGATGTCCAGCCACCTGTGGGTTCCTCTGCAGATGTGCTCCTCTCTACATCCAGTCACCTATGTGTCTGCCTGCGAGGGCCTTGGGGATTTTTATAGGCACAGGATGGCAGTGTGGCAAGCTAGGGTGAAAATGCAACGTTTGGGCAGGAAAACAAAAATGCCTGTCCTCACCTAGGTCCATTGGCACAGGCCGAGGATGGAGCCCTGGCCAGGGACCACACCCTTACCCCCTTCTGTATCATTTAAAGGGACCACACCCTTCCCTTCCCAGCACTTCCTTTCCATGTCAGTTGTATGTGCATTAACAGAAACAGATACACCCATAACACATCACCAAGTAGAGAGAACAATAATTATGACCTGCTTAGATCTTAAGTGAACTAAGGGATCCAGCATGTGTCAACCCCAGCTGTCCCCCTAATTCTACCTCTGGACTCTGCCCACACCCATCTGTCACCATTTCTCTACTACAGTCTTCTCCTCAAGACTTGGCTCAATCTTTTCTTGAAAACCCTTCTCCATTCTCTAGTAAATTCAGCCATCATCTTCTCTGTGTGTGCATGTGGCATTTTGAGCAATTGTTTAAAATACCATTAATTGTTTAAAATACCATTATCATTAATTTTAAACATTCATATTCTTCATTGAACTATTAACTTTCTGAACTCAGAATACACATTCTATAGCCTACAATAGGCATGCAATCAATATTTGTTGAATAAATAAATAATAAAAGAATAAAGTCAATGCTTGCTGGAGTCAATAAATTTAAATTTGAAAATAAAAAGAAAGGATATAGTCCCTCACCAAACAGAAGATCGGTGTTCCTCCAGTTCCTCCAAGTAAGACATGTCCTGTGAATAATCTTCTGCTTCTCCAGTTCTCCAATTAGTTGATTTTTCTTTCACAGAATGATCAGTCAGGCTATCTCCCTTGTCAAAGAAATTAATAAAAATTAAATAATAAAGTATTTTATTAATAGCAGATTGAAAGTTCACCTAGTTTCAGTGACATTTTCCCCAGAATGCCTTATAAAATCATTGATCATAAAGAAGCATCGTTAGGCACGGGTTTTGAATTGAAATGATTGTTTTATGCTTCAGATACCCTCACTAAATTTTTATCTCTGTAACGGCAGAGACCATGACATGTTCACTTTTGTATTATTTCACATGGGACAGCTTATGTAAATGCTGTCAGAATGCAAAGACAAACAATGGTGGTGGCAGTATTTGTACTGAATCAGGACTCTGGTTGCAAGTGAAATAAATGAAACTTGAACTATCTCTCAACAGAGTAATTTGAAGGGAGGTTTGAACAACGAGCCTATGGAGAAGGCAGAGAGGCTGCTGAATCTCCCGAACACAAGAATCCAGGACATGAAGGCTACCAGGACTCTCTTTGCCTCTATTCTCTGCTCTGGCAGGTTACTTCATTCTAGCATTGTCACCAGTAGCTCCTGAGTCCCCCAGCCTGTGATTCTCAACAGCATCTATTTAAGCACAGGAATTACATAATGTCTACGGAGCTAGTTGATTAGAACTTGATAAAATTATGTAACCTGCGATAATGCATCCAGAAGGCAGACTGGGCCCTATGGTCCTCGGGCCCTGCTGTGGTGAGAAACAGGGAGGGGGAGCAGCTAGGCTAGCAGGGCTCTTCCTACCTCTCCTGCCATAAAAGCTCAGTTTTTACCTGTTTTATTTATTGGGGTCTCCCGTTAAGCTTTTATTACAAATGGTACCGATACATTTGGGATGTCTGTCCCCTTCAAGCCTCATACTGAAAAGGAATCCTCAGTGGTGAAGGTAGGACACTGGGAGGTGCTGGGATCAAGGTGGCGGCTCCCCCATGGCTGGCTTGATGCTGTCCTCAAGACAGCGCGTTCATGTGATATTTGGTTGGTTGGAAGTGTGTGGCACCTCTCCCGTCTCTCTCATGGTCCTGCTCGCACCATTTGATGTGCCTGCTCCCGCTCTGCTTTCTGCCATGACTGTAAGGTTCCTGAGGCCCTCACCAGAAGCACATGCTGCAGCTATGCTGGTACAGCCTGCGCAAGCAGGAGCCAATTAAACCTTTTTCCTTTATAAATTCCCCAGACTCAGGTATTTCTTTATAGCAATGCAACAACGGCCTTAAACAGGTGTGGATAAGGAGTTTGAAAATCATTATTCTAGAGAAGCAGAAAATTAGGCATGACTTGCATCTATAAGGTAGTTTTGTAAAACTCTTCTTTCGTTTTTTTTAGACCCTTCTCAAATATTTTAAACGATTATTTGTAAGAGGTCAGTTAGTTGAAACTCCTTGATATTAGTTCATACAGGTTTCAGCACAACTTTGTAGTTGGAATAGCTTAAAATCTCAAAATGTTGTTTTGGGGTTGGCAAGTTGTAGCCAGGAAAACCTAAGTGTGAAACTCTGGTGAATTAGATGTGTCATCAAATCCCCAGTGAACTCAACAAGTCTCATTTCTTTTATTACAAAATTGATCTATTTGATTACCTAAGAACAAAATCCAGTTACAGATATCAATTTAAAGTAAGTGGCTTGCCAGGGGTGGTGGCTCACACCTGTAATACCAGCACTTTGGGAGGCCAAGGCAAGCAGATCACAAGGTCAAGAGATCAAGGCCATCCTGGCCAACATGTTGAAACCTCGTCTCTACTAAAAATACAAAAATTGGCTGGATGTGGTGGTATGTGCCTGTAATCCCAGCTACTTGGGAGGCTGAGGAAGGAGAATCACTTGAGCGTGGGAGACGGAGGTTGCAGTGAGTCGCAGTGCCATCGCACTCTGGCTTGGTGACAGACTGAGACTCCATCTCAGAAAAAAATAAATAAATAAAAAATAAAGTAACTGCCTTTCATTGTGGTCCTTTTTATCTTTTTTCTCTTCTATAGCACAGAAGTATTTTTGAGTAGACTATTCAGTATTGATATTTTTAATTGCTCCAGCCCTAAGTAAATTAAAGAGTATCAAGATCCTTGAAAAAATATGAGCTTTTTGAATTGTCCCAACTAAATATATTTAATAGGCACACCTTGCCAGGTTGCTGAAAAAAAGCCTTTCTAACTATTTAAATTTCAATCTGATGGAATTTCCTTATGAGTTGCTTAGACACTTCATTCAATTCCATTCAACAGAAGGTTGAAATGGCTACCAAGAACTATATCATAGATTTGGTTTACTCACCAAAACTGCTGATTTGATAAAGTACAGGTTTTTCATGATAGAGTGCATTAAATTGCTTTCTATTTGGTTTCTCTATGAATAGCTACACAATTTCTTCAAACTAAATTCAAGGCAGAAATGGGATACAGTATCTTTGTCTTCCACAACATTTAACATGGCTATAAGCAAATAGTAGATCTCAAGAAATAGTGATTAGAGGCCATTGTATTAAGTACTCACATTATAATAGCAACAGTGGACATTACCTCTAGCTGCCAACTCATAAAGAAAAACACCTGTGAATACTAAAAATTGCAAACATTTCTTGAACTTTTATATTTCCTTTAAGAAATATCTAAATCAATGCACTAAAAATTTCTTCGGATGGGTTTTTGAGAAGACACAAAAACCAGTTCATCTCCAAAGAATTGATTCAAAAGAGGAATAAAAACATAAAGAAATAACTTCTGATTCCAAAACAAAAAGTAAATGTGTGCAGAGAAACCCCCAGGTAAGTACCAGGGTATACAAAACCTGTTCACATGGAAGCACTTTCATAATCTAAACAGTTTGCCAAGCACAAAGGTATGTCTTAAATATGTGCCTGAAAAACAATGCTTGAACCATAATTGTCATCACTCAGAAGACAGAAAATAGATTTTCTGCCTCATTACAACTATAAATCCTGACTATATTCTGAGACCTAAAAACATCATCATTAAATATTATTTTCAACAGCAATGTCTTTAAAGAGATTAATACCTATATTTTAAAATAGAAATTCGTGGTACAAATTTATTGCAAAACATCACATTGCATTGTTGTGTGTACTGTTATATACTGACTTGCCACAGAAATCTTTAAATAAAAGTTGCTAATTAGAATCCAGTTTTTGAGTTTGTAGACTAAAAACCTGGTTTGTGAATATTGGTGTTCAAATACAACATTGATTGCCAGACAATGAATGACCACTCTTCCAACACAATGCAAATCGAGAGGCAAAAAGCGTTTTAAGGAAATTAGAAATTCTAAAATCTATAGTGCTATAGCAAAAAAGGACAGTCTGGGGGTGATCAAAAGACACATTCAAGTCTTTTTACTACTCTGTGAACTCAGATGGATTAAAGTTCATGAATTGAAGTTTTAGATTTGTAGAACAGAGATAAGAGACTTACGAAGATAAACATATATATTATATATAGTACATATTTCATTTATATAATATATAATTTATACATATATATATAATTTATGGATGCATATAATTCTTCCAGGAGGTGTGAGAATAGCATGTAAAATGCTTTACAATACTAAGGATACAAGTAGTATCTGGTACCATATCCTATTTAGCATAGGTGATCAACTGAATATTTAACAGCCTTCCATTTCTTGTGCATTACTTACGGCATTTCTTTGCAGCTGCTATGAAGAAAATGTCATAGGAACCAAGTTTCAAAGTTATCTGAGCCGATGACATATAACCCTATTTAATTGTGTCATATGGTAAGTAGCAAAGCTCAGGATTCCTATATTGCCTAGGTTAGAAACTTTAAAATTAGTTGAGGATCCAGAGGTTTCTGCTTTTTTGCCATAATTCCTTTCATAAGCCATTCAGTTTATAGAGAGGGATGAGAGCCACGAACTGGTGGGAGGATAAGTCTGTGTGTGCAGAGAAAGCTGGCAGTTCACAGGCAGTGATACCAGGGCCCTGGAAATGTATTACGGTGTCAGCACAGTTAAGCTCCACTTAGCAGCACTTCTCCTCCAAACCTTTTGCAGGGTTTTTGTGTGGGTGTCTGGGGAGAACTGCTCACCTGCCCATCTGGCCAGATGAAGGGCAAGGGGATTGTTTTCATCAAAAGAGAAAGCCTTAGAAGGAGGAAATGGTGAATAAAGGGCTGAATCCAAAGGATTACAAAAGCTTTTGAACTGCCCTGGGAAGATCAGAAGTGAGCAGCCATGGAAGCTTTAATGTGGCCTAAGTGATGCTCATCACTTTTTAAGAAGGCAGGGGAGGAAGGTTTGGGGTGGAAACACTCTGCTAAGAGGCTTGTGTTAATAAGATCACAGAATTGCTAGTCATAGATAACAGCAACAAATACCAGGTGTGCCTGAACTACCAAAGCAAATAAATATGACATCATGTTCATTTCCATCAGTGCTATTATCATCATCCAAAAACAATCATAGCTCCAAATTAGATTCAGCCTAAATCCTGAGACCATCCAGCAGGACTGCTCTTTCCCCTTTCTTTAACTCATGTCTTATGTGTTCCCCAGAGAATTTTACAGGACAGGCTTCCATTAATGTACCCAGAGGAAAACAAGATATCCCTGGGTAAGTAGCTCAGGAGATTCTGGAGAGACCCCTCAAGTACTAACTCCCTCAAGCTTCTTTTTCTGCCCACTGGAAGATGACTAGCATCTCTGGCCCCTTGGGAGCACACCTGTAAACTGTTCTCTGATCATTTGCATTTGAAAAACTGATGCATCACATTTGAAGTTTAACACTAACCTTATTTTCCCACAGCCATCTTATGAACTGCCTAGGTTAGAATTTTTTTAATTAGTTGAAGATCCAAGTTAATTCTTGATACTATAAGAACATGAGAAAAAATAAAATGCTTCAATTGGAGTGTGGAGTCTCAGACTAAGACTGTTTATTGTCAAGAGAGTAGTGTGTGTATGCTTAGAAGGTGGTATAACTGCCCTTACCTGTAACACTTGGTTGCTTGGAACTTGGGTGTGTTCTGGCTCTGTCATCCCATAGCACTGACGGGGGGCTGAGATGCATTCCCATTAGCACGTCTTACCTCTGACAGCCATTCAAAGGGAAGACACCTTCCCAATGTGCCCGGACACCAGGGGAGAAATTACTTCCCCAAGCAATTACTTTATAAGTTTTAGAATATAGTATTAAAAATAAAATCAAAAGAGTACTCCTTGATTGAACATGTAAACTCAGTAAATATAGGGAAGAGTTTTAGGTTTTTAGAGTGAATGTGTCCGTTCTCACCTCACCTACTTTAGCCTTGCTTCTAATCCCAAAGTTTAAGGTCAATGATTGGTATGAGAATTTTACAAAAATAATTAAAAGGCTAATATTAGATTCATAATACCGTAGAAGTCCCACAAACATATTTATTTATTCATTTCCAAAAGAGTGTACATAAAAGTACTTGAATACATAATATGTACTAAAAGCGTGTGATGTTGCTTCGCCATTTTTTATTTGCTAGAGGATTGACCCATGGCTCCACACCCAAGCCCTTAAGTTAAGATTATAAAAACCAAGAAGTGAAAAATATACCTGGCTAACAACAACAACAAAAAGATAAAACAACTTAAGTTTTCTCATGATTGATACAAATATGAATTCTAGAGGCAGACAGTCTGGGTTTCTGGTTCGAAACCTAGTTATGTATTTTAATTAGCAATATAATTTTGGTTAATTTACTTCATTTACCCATGCTTCATTTTTTTGTCATCTCTAAGTTGGGGATAATGATGATAATAGCAATATCTATCCCATTAGTTCACTGTGAGAATACGAACTTGTTTGTTGTAGGCTGAGAAAATCTGCCAGCACCCAATAATGTCCTAATTCTTAGTAAATGGTACCTCTCATTGTTACAGATTTCACTAAATTTTTTATCTCAGAGTTTTTATCATTAATATTGCCTGTGATACAGAAGATCCACAATATAGAAAGTCTGTGATATAGAAACGATCACAATTGCACATGCTGTTAGTAGTCACCAGAACATTAAAAAACACAGTCATTTATTTGATTAGATGATGGCCTACAATTTAGAGGTTAAAGAAGAAAATACTTACCTTAAAGTCAGTGGTGAGAGCAAGACATGAAAGATGGCTCTATAGAACTATAGGCATTTAGTTAGAAAGATAAAAAATTAAGACAATCACTCAGATAACGTGTACACAAAGAGGCCAGGTTGTGGCGGTGGGCAGGGTTCTTTTACTTCAATTTTTTAGACAAGCTAATTTTTTTTAATACTTAAAATTTGAAGTCACCTGTTCTAGGCAGATACAGATTTTTAAAATGTTCAGTATCTAAAAACTGGATCTAGTAATACCAGTAATAATTATTTGGCCAATATTTTGGAAATTCAGGCTACTTAATTTATGTAAGTTTATCAAGATAGTTTCTACACAGACTTCATCATGACAGCCATGATCATGCTAAAGAAATCACTGAAACAGCACAATCAGCATGTTTTCTAATCACCCAGCTCCAAATAAAAAGAGTCCTGTAGACTGATTAATTTCACTTAAAGTCTTCAATAGCCTAAAGAAGTCTGACTCCAGTGTTATGAAAATTTATTGGCATTGCTGACTTCTCAAATGTCAGCCACTTTACCACATCCCACACTTCAAAACCTACTCTGAAGACCAAATTGCCTTCTACCTAGACATACATTTTAAGAAATCAGTTTATCATCAGGGGTTGCTGTCTTCATGGTCTTTCCAAAGCCAACTTCTACAGCCTTCATCTTACCTGACAGTGTAGATCATCGTCTTCTTTTAAGAGCTTGGGATCACAGTCCATAGAACAGGGACCAATTTTATTAGGAATGCTCCCTAGGGTTAAAAACAAAAAGGTGGAAAAAAAATAGATGACACATTTTCACTTCCGAGGATGTGTAAGCTTACACTGCTGAAATCAAAAAGCTGATCTATGCCTTGACAAATGGGGACAGAAGAAAGAACTCTAAAACGAAGGCCCTAAGCTGTGCTAGGTCCCCGGTTTTTAATCAGCCAGCATATGAACTTCAAGTCGAGCTTTATCCTGAGCCACACTACCGGGTTGTAATTTACAAGCAGCAGCTGTGTCTGGCTGCTTTCCTACATCATCTGGGTAGGAGTCTTTAACATCAGCTACATTTCTGGGATCACATTTTCAAGGAAGCCCTTCTGCACCCCATATCAATCACCCAATATGAAATTCTGAGATTAGGGTGATTTGGTCCCTGCCTGCATCCAGTGCTTCTCACCTTACTCTCCCAAGCAACTGACTCATAAGTTTTGCAATATAATATTTAAAACAAAAAAGAGAACTTTTTAATTGAACATGTAAACCCAGAAAAGAGATTTTCAGGTACTTTTCGCATATCTTGCATGACTTGCTCTATATCAAAGTTTCTCAGCCATGGTGCTATTGACATTTTGCGCTGGATAATTCTGTGTTGTGGCTGCTGTCCTGTGCTTTGTTTAGCAGTATCTAAACAGAGGGTGAATTAAGTAGACCTCTACCTACTTAGACCAGCAGCACCCTCTATCTAAGCCATGAGTTGTGGCAACCAAAAACGTCTTCAGACTTTGCCAAATGTCCTGTGGGACAAAACATGGCCAGTTGAGAGCACTGTTCTAAATTGCAAACTCCTTAACAGACAACGTGTGCTGTCACCCTCACTTTTCCTATAGTGTCTTGCACAGTGCCTGACACAGAGTACTTTCTGAACCAATCAGATTGTTGCTTAAAGGAAAAATAAATAAATAAATGGCAAGAGCGCTTATGAGCAGGTATTCCCACAGCTTTCTACCTCCCAAGTCATTGTCTTGACCACTCATTTCAGTGAACCCACATGGCAAGGTCTACACCCAGGGTCTTGTGACGAATATCCTGGCTCAGAAGATGCTGGCGCTTGGAGTGCCTCAGGAAAGCCACAGCTTTGATGCGGGGGTTGGCCTGACAGTTTTGTTTTTTTTTTTTTTTTCAAAACAGTGTGTGTTGTGAGCAGTCAAAGCCCTTTTTTCTACCCCCTTTCTCCCTCCAGGAATTGAATGTTGTCATCCCCTGTCCTTTGAAATTGCCCTTGTGGTACTTTTTTTTTTTTTTTTTTTTTGAGACACCATTTTGCTCTGTCACCCAGGCTGGAGTGCAGTGGTATGATCTCCGCTCACTGCAACCTCCACTTCCCAGTTCAAGCAATTCTCCTACTTCAGCCTCCCGAGTAGCTGGGATTACAGACACGCACCACCACAGCCCAGCTAGTTTTTTGTATTTTTAGTAGAGACAGGGTTTTAGCATGTTGCCCATGCTGGTCTGAAACCCCTGAGCTCAGGCAATCCACCTGCCTTGGCCTCCCAAAGTGCTAGGATTACAGGCGTGAGCCAGGCGCCTGGCCCTTTGTGGGCATTTTGCAATGAAATTTTAGAAGTGTAAAATTCTGAGGACATAAGCCCCATGTCAGCATGCTTCAGAAACCTTTTCCTCCCGACCCCTCCAGCTTCTTGCTCCCCAGTCTAGGCCTGTGTGGCTCAAGCATTTTGGGAAGAGATGGTTTCATTGTGTTTCTTGACACTCCCTCCAGTGATAAAGGACAATTTCAAAGGACAGGGGATGACGACATTCAATTACTGGAGGGAGAAAGGGGGAAACGGGGACAGAAAACGAAGCTTTGACTGCTCACGAAAAGATAAAGGCAGACACTGAGAAATATCGTTCCTCATGGAAATTCACATGGGTCAGGCACCCCTTCTTTGAGACACCCGATACTTAGTCACATAGACCCCTGGAAGAGCTCCCTTTCTTTGGGTCTAAAACAGAATTCGTTGGTAGTGAGATTGTTATGGTCAAATTTACAATAAGAAAGGGAGGAAAAGGAAAGGTAGTATAGAAAACATTTTTATTTAGGTTTTAAATCTATTATTTAAATATAAAATTTTGATACTAGCAATTTATATTAATCATGCACTAATTACATATTAAATTACAATTATGATCATACATAATTTTACTTATAAAACATTACATATAACATATATAAAATATATATGTTAAAATAAATATATAATAAAAATTATATATTATGTATTATATATAATATATAATTATGATCTAATCATTAATTTAATATTTATATATACACATATAATATATTATAATGAATGATTTAATGGTTACATCAAATATTTAAATACTACAATATTTATATATTTATTTTTAATGTATTATTCTTTTTAAAGTTTTGTAATTAAAATTCTTAGTATATAATTTCTAGCTGTAACAAATATAAATATGAAATAACAGAATGCATATTTTAGTATTTTCTAAGAATCCTGTATATATTATGTTGTTTACATCTCACACACACATACACACACACAACTGGTTAAATAGTTACCATTGCCACATTTGACAAATTTGGAAACTGAGACTCAGAGAGATCAAAGAACTTCCCTCAAGTTAGACAGCTAATTAGAGGAAAATCTGAAATTCAGTCACAGTTCTTTTTTACCACCAAACCCATGCATTACATCCTTCTGCTGTATCCTGCATGAGAAGCCCCACCACATTTTCTACTTATACACACATTTAAACATTGGACATATTTTATTACTGCTGGAACAAATTACCACAAACAGGGACTTAAAGCAACATCTTTTTATTATCTCACATTTTTTTTGTGGCTCCGCTGGGCATTGTAAGGCTCAGCCGGCTTCTCTACTTAAGTCTCACAAAGCCAAAATTCAATGTGTGAGCCGGAGCTGCAGTTTGCATCTCTGGGTCTTGGGGTCTTCTTCAGGCTTGTTGAAGGCTGGCAGAGTTCATTCTCTTCTCATAATTTCCACGGGATCCCCATGGCCTCCAGGTCAACAGCAACAGGCTGTGTCCTTTCCATGCTTGAATCTCTCTAACCCTTTTTTCTGCCACTGGCATAAGAATGTTAAGAATGTTCTCTACTTTTTTTTTTTTTCCCTTGAGATGGAGTTTTGCTCTTGTTGGCCAGGCTGGAGTGCAATGGCATTATCTCTGCTCACCAAAATCTCCGTCTTTCTGTTTCAAGCAATTCTCCACCTAGGCCTCCTGAGTAGCTGGGATTACAGGCATACTCCGCCACACCTGGCTAATTTTGTATTTTTAGGTAGAGATGGGATTTCTCCATGTTGGTCAGGCTGGTCTAGAACTCCCAACCTCAGGTGATCCACCCACCTTGGCCTCCCAAAGTGCTTACACTCCCTGTGCCCGGCCTGTTTTCTGCTTTTAAAGGTTCATGTGATTAAGTTCACCCACATAATCTCCCTCCTGATATGTAAACATTCTGGGGATTAGATCTTGGACATCTCTGGAAGATCATCTTAGAAATCTTCCTACTAAAAATAATTTTACAGGACTTATATCCTTATATGTTATTAAAATGTCATAATGGTGTGCATGTTAAGGTAATAAAGTCCCTATCAAAAAGAGAGACTCATAAAAGTCTTCAATATTTCCTTTATTCTCATGTAAAATGTTCTTTGCTCTAAAACAGACCTTCCTATTTCTAAAAATACATAGTTATATTTATATTTGATAATTCTGATATATGCTATATAATAATTACGACACATATAATTATTCTGTTATATAAATGTATCTATAATAAAATCTTTTACCAAACTGTAATTACTAATATATATGCCATATAATAATTATATGACACATATACTTATTCTGTTATATAAATGTATCTATAATACAATATTTTACCAAACTGTGATCATATCACATATGTAGTGTGCATCCTTCTTTACATTTAACATATTGTGTTTCTTACTGGTTATTAAACTTCCCCAATGTATAATTTTTAATCACTGCATGGTAATACATAATATGGCTTTATTTAACCAGCCCCATTTGATTAATATTTATATCATGTTGTACATATTTTACAAAAATTTTATTGTTCTTCTGTGCTTATTTTCTTAAAATACTGTATGTATCCAGGATCAGGGATACTAAATCAAATGCTTAAGACTTTTTGTTTTTGCTCTACAAAATGAATTATCAAAGTTTATATTGTAACCAGCCAATGCAGTAAAGTATCTAATTATACACATGCTTGCCAAAACCTGTCAGCTTAGTAGACAAATAACAAATCTCACTGTTGTTTTAATTTGAAATCCTAGAAATCTAATAAATGTGAAAGTTTTTATGTTTGCAGAGCCCTTAATGCTTTTTTATATTGTAGATTTCCTTCCATGCCATTCCCCCCAATTTTTTAGCTGGGATATTTAATATTTTCTTTGTAATTTTTATCTTTCCATATTAAAGATATTAACTTTGCCTGACATGATGGTTCAAAATATTTGTCTTAGTTTGCAATGTATATGTATAAGATATAATTTTCAGTCTTATGTAGTCCTGTGTGTCAATGTTTTCTTTCATTGTTTCTCCTTTTACTTATAAGCTTACAAAACCTTTCCACACTAAACAGTCAAAACATAAATACACAAAGTCTAAGTAAAGTAAGAACTTGTGGGATCATTGCATTATTTTCTTTCATGCTTTCCCACTGCCAGGTGGGTAACCATGGCACCTGGGGTCTTGCCCACACCTCAGACTCAGACATGCAAAACACAACTGACCCTCATTCTTCTCACAGGGTTCCTTCCTCATGTTGTCTATTTCTTTTCACGACTTTGCTATTCTTCTTCCACTCAGACTCAAAATTCTCGGTCTTCCACAAATTTTCCTACTCTATTGTCATCCACATCTAATGCTTTGTCACGTGATCTTACATCTCATTCAGTAGTTGAACAGCCATTTCTTCCTCCCTTTTGGCATAACCCTAGCTTGAGCCTTCATTGCTTCCTAC